TGTACCGCCCACCCACCGGCGCGTATTCTTGGGTTCTGGACATGTCTGACGCAAATGCAGCAAATTCAAAGACAATCTAGCAGAAAACTGCAAAACAAAAGCACATTGCAATTCAGCACAGTTGCCGTTGATGCCAATTGATGCCAATTCACGCCACATATGACGCCGTGTGTCGCAGGTATTCCAGAAGCAGGTGCACCATGGCATCTGAAACACCTGCTTCTCAATTTCAGCCCTCCTCTGTGCTGACACGCCCTGAACTGACGTCGCGGTGTTGTTGGAGCCGGACAGAACAACGCAGCGCAGGTACCTGACCATGTGTTCTCCGTCAGGTCCTGCTGACAGTGGCCTGCATTTTCTGGTCCACCTGCTTGTTCCTCACCGGGTTCGTGAAGGAGTACTGGCAGCTGGCCGCGCTTCGCTTCGGCATCGGGTTCGGGTCAGTGCACCGGCCGACGGCGCCGTCTGTGTTCACAGAACTGGCCGACAGTCAGGCGAGCTCGGTCGTTTGTGGGCGCTCTCAGTGACGCTCGGGGTCACCTTCCACCGTACACGTGCAGGAGACGCGGCAAGCTGTCCCGCCAGTCCGCCTAATCGCAGGAGGGCACGTGAAACGCCAACGAGACGCTGCAGTTATCGTAACTTATCGCGATACGCAGCGGTTTGCAGCGTTGCCGTCAAAAGTTCCGTTTATCTGATGGTGTCGAAGGTATATAATGATCGATCGTCCGTCACTCCAACAACAATAGAAACACGATTTTTGCTGTTGAATTCCCGCCCTCCTTAATTGGTTCTGCTGGCATTGGTCAGGAGACACCGAGTCAGACTGTTCTCAGGTCGGAGTTTTGTCGGCACGTGGCTCGCGCTATACCTTCCCAACATCTTAATGATCCATCGGCATGTGTGTGGGTCGCCTGGTTGGCCCCGCTGTGCCGACCGCATGCACCGAACACGCAGCCGGGAGTATCTCGACAGCTCGGCATCGGCGCCGTGTGCCCCTGAAAGAGGCCCCGTTACGTAAGCGTCGGACGACTGCCGACCGGGGAGGCCATATATGGCCGTTGGGGCGGCTGAGGACGACTGGCGGCTGCCTAACCCCCCACCCCCCTCCCCCTCCCTCTCCCTCCCCATCCGTGTGGCATGGCCCGGTGCGCGCTAACCTGCGCAGGGCGCCCCGCGCTATCCGCCCGTGGGGGATACCGTACACCAGGTGCATCACACGCTCATCGGCGCGCGTACCGTCGTGCACCTTGCGCACGCTATGGTGGTGGGGCGTGAACACAGAGAGTGCAGACTGAGACGGCCATTTTAAAGACCATTCAGTGCAGTTCACAGCCATGCCTTCCAAGGCTTTAAATCCTTTTTGTTTCTGAGCTTGGCACCAGCGAACTTGTATAGACTATTTCGTGCAAGCTATTTCAACGTCAACCAGACGTGCACGACGCCATAGAACATCACGTGTATACCGCCAACCTTAGAATGACCGTATTGTGCCCAAACTCAAGAACAATAATCATCGCATCATTCTTGTCTGGCGCGCGACAGCACGATGTGCAGCGTTACCGGACTTCAGTTGGCCCTCACCCCTGTTTAACTGTGATCATGTGCAACATTTAGAACAACAATCCATGGTAAATTGGTCACAACCTGGCTAAGTGCGCTTTGATGGGGCAAGCAATCACCATTTCAGGGCTATGGGATGAGGGAGAATGGATTACGGTGGGGCCAGTGCTACTGCGCCTGGGCGCCCATCCGCCGAGACTAAGCAGCCAGGGACTAAGCCCAACACTGACCCTCTGCGGGTGCTCGCGGTGCTTAGCGCTCGGAAGGGGGCCCTAACCAGGGGGTCGTTTTGGCCCACTCGTGCTGACGCATGCAGCCTGCCCCGGGGCAAGCGGGGCGAGTCGCGAAGACGCAGTATGAAGTAAAAAAGAGATATAAGAGGACGGATGCTCGAACATGAATCACGTTTTGTGTTACGTGATACAAAAAAATTTGGCAGCGGTACGACTAACGACAGAATAAGACTGGGAATTGAATGAATTAACAAAAAACTAAACTCCGCAAACGGGCACGTGAATGCAAGTAAAATATCAGGTCACAAATATGCAAGAACAACAGGAGAGAAGATAAAAATGCGAACATCTAACGATATTATGATTCAGCAGACACACCACGGCACGCAACGCCACCATCTCAGCATGATGAAGTATTATAAGTGAGTTGGGGCACGTCCTCCGCAGCAACAATTCTGACACGGCCAGTCTGGTACCGACCCTGACGTCAGAAAGACGTTGCATCAACCAGTGACGTATTGAACAGCAGATTCACCAAAATTTGAAATGTTGTTGTTTGGAACAGTTTTAACGCTTGAAAGCAAACCACCGATCACAAGTGAGCCGATCTCAGCATAGCTAATGTTGCCTCAATATCTTCAAATGGTGGAACATCCCCTTTGATTTTGAGCTGCTCTTCCTGACTCGACGGGGCCCGCGGCGAACTGTTATCCCGGTTCCGTGTCGCTGCCCCCGGCGTGCCGCCCTCACGTGCCCCGACACGTGCCCTCACCTGTCGTACGTGCCACCATCACGTGCCTCACGTGTCCCGATATTTGCTGACCGTTCGCAGCGAGGCGGGATGCACTCCGTTCGCCGCATCGCTGCTGGCCGACTACTTCGCCCCAGAGCTGCGTGGCACCGCGCTCGGCGTCTACAACTGGGGCATCTACTTCGGCTACTCCATGGCCTACGCCGTCGGCAACTTCATCACGAACGCCGACATCCTCGGCATGGTAGGCGTGGTCGTAGTCTTCACGTTGCCTGCCGCCGTTCCCCGAACGTTGCTGGGGGACTGGCATGCAGACTGCCATATTGGCAGAAGGCTCTTGTGACGTCACGGTCGTGCGCCCCTTTACTTGTGACGTCATGGTCGTGCGCCCCGTTACTTGTGACGTCACGGTCGTGCGCCCCGTTACTTTTGTTGCTCGATTCCGCCTGTTTGTCCCGAAATGTGGCCACTTGTCCATCCAGTCTTAGGGTTTTGCCAGCTGGGCTTTCGTTCCGCTCCGCGGCTGTATTCGCTGCTCAATCCATTCACGTGGTAAGCTGCCCTTGGAAACTGTGCTATGCGAGACCGAGTCGAGCTACGCTGACTTTCGCATTCATCGGCTGCCGGACACAGCCTGCCTAGGTTATAACAGCACACTGTCTTGGCGTGCATGGCCATCCCGTTACCGCGCGCTCAGCTGGAGGCGGGATGCAGCTGCGCTCATTTTACCCCCAAGGCCCAGAAGGCCATGACATTTAGCGAAGGCAGTTATAAGGAATCGTTCAATCTGATGAGACAGCGTAATGTTGGACGAAGGCATACAGCTTCGAGTTGGTCTCTCAGACACATAGACAACATGAGTCAGAGTAACGACTAATTTCATTGGCGTTGCGTCACGCATGAAGATCAGATTAAGCAACTCAAGATCAGATCGTCAGCAACTAAGCCGCCTTATTTCTAGAATCCTTGCTGTATGGGGTAGTATTGGCGCTCATCACGAACTTATTGTAACAGGGACATCAAAGACATATTGGTTTTCACTTTGAGGAGCATGCTGCCTAGCGTAGATCTTGATACTGACTTTAAACCTAAATATTAAAGCAAGTTTACGGGGTCTTATTCATCTTCACCTTCAGAAGGTAAAGCAAGGTCACTCAACTGATATGAACACCAGTGACCTTTTGCTTCTAAACGGTGTCTAGGTTAAAGCTAGATACTTGCGGAGGTCTGAGTACACTCAGGACACAGATATGGAGTTTGGCATTGTTTGGCCGTACTTAACCAGAAGGTGACAATCTAGTCTTCCCCACGAACCCGAGCTCCCGAAGTGTGAGCTCTGAAGGTGTCAACCGCTCGGCGATTACGCCTCCGCGCGCCATATTCCCCCCCAAGCCCCCCCCGCCCCCCACCCCCCACCCCCACCCCCCCCGATGCGTGTTGATGCGCCTTATGTGCGAGCCGTTTTCATGCCATCTGGCGCTGTGTTGACTTCCAGGGCGACGATGACCGCCCCTACTGGTGGGCGCTCCCTGTTGCTCGTCCTGTCGCGGTGTGACCCCGACCTGCCCGCAGGGCTGGCGATGGTCGTACCTGCTGGCGGGCGCTCCCTGTTGCCCGTCCTGCCGCGGTGTGACCCCGACCTGCCCGCAGGGCTGACGGTGACCGCACCTGCTGGTGGGCGCTCCCTATTGCCCGTCTTGTCGTGGTGTGACCCCGACCTGCCCGCAGGGCTGGCGATGGTCGTACCTGCTGTCGGGAGGTCCCGGTATCTTGCTGGGCGTGCTGATCCTGCTGACGATGAAGGAGCCGTCGCGGACCGGCACCAGCGCCGCCAGCAAGGCGGCCTCGGCACAGCTGACGTCGGTGCAGAAGCTGCTTGTAACGTTGCGCTTCTTCTTCCGACCAATGGTCATCCTGCTCTGCCTGGCTGGAGGCATCAGAAACGCAGGCGCGTGATTCGGGGAAACGGGAGAGCGGTGGTGGTTAGGAGGGGGGGGGGGGGGGGGGACGAAGGCGAAAGACATAAGATATAATTGCACGCAGGCATTTCCGATGTATATTTGCATGTGGTCTAAAACCTTTCATTGTATGTATATTGCCATTGACCCTTTTTAGGTCATTTAGGTCATAGGCTGCTTCTTATCGGGGTGAATCTCGTTTTTGTGTGGCTCATTTTGAGCAAGTTTGATCAAAACAGCCTTCCAACCTACCAAATTGTCTTGAATTCGCGAGCAGAAGGCCACGGGGCCATCTGCTCTTGCTCACTCCACCAGTCGAGTCTGGTAAGAAAATGCCATTTTTCGACGGCTGGTACGATGACACGGCAAGCCGTTCGTCAGGAGGCTGAGCAAGATCAACCCGGTTATTGATCCCTGTGGGGTGCCGTGACTTGCAGATGGGGGAGCCTGGCCATTTGCGCTGTTCATCGGGCCACGCCCACTCAAATAGTTTCTTCATCGTATGTCTTAATGGATTTCAAACCGTCTCAGCTGGATGAGGATGACCTCACGGTCGACCCGGTTCAGAGCTTTGCTCAAATAAGCTGCTGTGGTTGGAGAGATGTAGCCATAATATTGAGCTCCCAATATCCAAGCAACAGCATCGAGCACAGCGTCCTCTGGTAAACGGCTGCGGCGGCGGGCATACTGTTGGATGAACAAGATTGAAATACTGCTGGTAGAAGAGAAGACAGCCGGCTGGTTGCATAGGTTTTGTCTGTCACCTGTGACTGACGGAGGAGCAGAGAGATAAACCGAAAGTTTGACTGGTTCGCCGGATCGTAAATCGGCGCAACAGTGGTCACCTTCCACGACTCTGGGAACCCGCGAGACGCGGTTGAGGCGTTCGCGACTCGCGGCAGGTTAGGTCCGAGCGCAGGGAGACTGCGCTTCGTCGCACTCAAGAGGACGCCGTGGCGGTCGACAACACCCGAGGGATTCACCATCTGGATGATGGAGCCCAGATCCGTCAGAGTCGCTGCCTGCGGCCTGAGCGCGGTCGTGACGGCGATCGATGGCCTGGGGCTATTTGTTCACCGTCATGTATCACCGTTCACCGTCATGGCGTCTCTCAGCTCCGCAGCGATGCTGAAGCCAACGGTGGAGAAGAATCATTTAGGCCTGCCACTCCTGGACCAGAGCTTGACACCAGCGTGGGCTGCGCGGCCACTGAGCATGACACCGAGCTGAGCCCGATGTAAAACCGTTTGACCGGTCCAGACGTCCGTGAGAAAGGGGCTACCATGCCGTTCACGTCGTTGCCGGCCTGCAGTGGTCCCCGTCTGCCAGGAAATCCAGGCAAGAAGTGTTCCTGCCGGCAGTGCTCAGGCTGTTCCGCCTGACGCTGACGCTGGACATGACGCCATGACGCTGGACATGACGCTGAGCTGAGCTTGATGTATAGCCTGTTTGAGCGGTCCAGACGTCCGTGAGTAGGCTAGGTCCAGGTCCAGTAGGTCACGGACCATGCCGTTGACGTCGTTGCTGGCCTGTAGTCGTCCCCGTCTGCCAGGAAATCCAGGAAATTTGCAAGCAAATCCATGAAATCCAGGAAAGTAGTATTTCTGCCGGCAGTGCTCGGGCCGCGAATGGCATGCTCGCCCACGCGTTCTCGAATTCGGCCAACAAGTGCAGGAGCGACAGTAGGTTGGCGACCGCTGATGAACGCTATGGAGAACCTCTGCAATGGTGCTCAGGCCGTCGATGCTGCTGCTGATGTGGTCCAATACACTTGGAGTGGGCGTGAGATGAGTGGGCTCGTGGACGAGCTGGGCGGTATTCAGCCCCGGCAGCGATGACTAATATCGTAGAGCACCGACATACTCCGAGTCGAGCACGCTGATGTTGACGTCGTGCGTCAGTAGCGAGCGCATATCAGCTCGCATATCAGCATATCTCGCAGCAGTTCCTAGAGTTGCTCGAGAGCTTGGTTGATTGAATTGACAGGGTCTGTAGGCTACTCCCAATAACCACTGATCTCCCTCCAGGCTACGAAACAGGCAGAGGGCCTCGATCCGGCGTGTGTTGGTTATCCTCACTTTATGGTACTGTATTTCATCTTGCGGATGACCTAAAGCCGCCTGCATCTTGCTGTCCGTCCCTGTGGAGTGGTTGTCGATCTCGCCGGATGCTAGAGTACCCTTGGAAGAGGATAGCATGTGGCTGGGTGCTGGACGTTAGCCCAGTCTGGGAAACACAAAGAACGTGTGCTTCGTTTTTCCTGAACTCCATACTCTTCTGAAGAAGCATGATGTTCACGAAGTCAAGCCTGGAAACCAGGGACTGGGTGCTGATGTGCCCAGTTTCCGTTTGGGATAGCTTCGGCTCTCTCGCTCGTACCTGTTATTCTTGCGAGTATGCCAGATTGCCAGGCGCGGCAGGGCAGTAAGGTACCGGTGATTATATAGCGACGCTTCAGCTTGCTGTTCAGCCGAGCTGAGATTGCGTTTGACATAAAGAATAGGGCTGCGAGTCCATCGCCAGAAACCCCATTTAAACCCAGTTTTTCAGTTATTGTGTGTTCCTCGTGGCTAGCGCTGGAGAAAGCGCCAAAATGAGGATTCCATTATTGCTCGTCGTGCTGCTGCGGCCTTGTTAATGCTGCGAAGGACCTGTTGATGTTGACTTATGCTCATTTCGAGGAGAAACTTGAATAAGTCAACAACGTTGAGAATAGAGCGTGCCTGACACGCGCGAAATCCGGCTGGTATAACTCCCGCCACCGTGTCCAGTCGGGCAGCCAGCAGCCAGCAGTCAGTCCGTCCGCATGCCTGATCGCGAGATTCGATCGGTTGGAACCCTCCGGCGGTGGACAGGTGACGAGCAAAACATGTGAGCTCACAAAAACCGGCGGGCTGTTCCACACAAAAAAGCATACCATTTACATAGAGGCAGACACTGGATGGCTTTTAACTGTTACAAACGGTGGGAGGTTACGCCGTCAACTGACGTCGGAGCGTAAAAATGAGCTCTTAAGCTGTAGAATGAACTCCGTAAAAAGCACGGCGCATCTGGAAGCCGTTGACGACCGCACGAATCCAAGGTGGAGCAATGTCGGGTGATCCTTGGAGCGGACCATGCGGGCGAATCATGGCCAGCGTTTTGGGGACTCGCGCTGGGCAGACTGCTTGAAGGTGACGTGCGGAACGGCAGAGTTTTTGTCCACAATCCATCGCTTACCACAGCAACATAATAGAACAGCTCGATATTGGACCATCGTTGCGCATGCCTTACCGCTGGGTTCGTGTTCTCATGAGTGCCTGCATACAGTCATACGGATATGTGCAAAATGTCGTCACTTACTCGTCTAGCAAAAGAGAGCGATGCTTCCTTATGTTGCGCAAATATGCATGTGACTGAAGTCTGGACCACAGTGAATAGCTGCGTGAGGGCTCGTTTGGCAGTGTGCCTGACCGGCGATGCCTCGGCTTGCAGCCGGCTACGTCTGGTCGTACAGCACGCAGAACTACTTCGAGGGCATCGGGCAGACGTCCACCCAGATCGGCTCCTACATGTCCTGGATCCCGCTGGTGGCCGGCTCCATCAGTGAGTGGCGAAGCTGGTCTCCCGGTCTCTGTCGCACTGTACCAGATGAAACTCCGCTGCTGTTGGGATGTTGAGGAATTGGACCTCTCCGGGCAGCAGACAAACGGTGCCGTGAAACCCGAGCCGTCTCGTGCGTTGTGGCTGTGTTCCATGCTTTAGGTGCGTAGATGCATTGACTCACTTTTCGGTGATGATCAGTCGATGGGCTGCTGCCGGCGCAAACGCAGCCCATTCTTTGAAGGCCACGCTCGTTGGGTACGGATCCAGAGGCATTGTGAAGTTATGCCGTACGACTCGTTGGGCAAACCGCCAACATAAATAGACCAGGTCTTCAGCAAACTTGATTGATCGCCATGCATAATGCTGTCCTACGACTTGGGTTTCTTCGTGTTGCATGCATGAACACGTCGTGTCAGTGATATACGTGGTTGTGATAACACGTCTGCCGTAGAAGCATTATGCCGTATTCGCTGCTCTATCTGTGACGCGGCACGTACCATACCACGTGTCAGACACGAAGTCCGGCGTTGTTGCCAAGCCCCTCTGCATCTTCTGCTCTGCTCCGGACTTACCAGCCTGCTCCTGGTCAGCTGTGACCTGTGTAATGCGTGCTGTTGGCCGGTGTCCGTGTCTGGCCGTGTCTTGTCCTCAGAACTGATGTTGACCTGTGTTTGCTCTCCGGACTGGTGCTAACCTAGTGTTTCCTCGTCTGACCTCGTCCCGCCCCGGGCGTGGTATCGACCCAGTGTCCTCGCTTCACCGTGTCCGGTCGCCAGGCGTGGTGTTCGGCGGCTTCATCTCGGACCGGGTGGTGAGCAGGCTCGGCCCTCTCGGCCGCATCTGGGTCATCATCATCTCCCAGCTGCTGGCCGCGCCGTTCGTGTTCGGCGTGCTCTTCCTGGAGCCGCCCTGGGCCTACATCAGCCTCATCCCCACCTACATCATCGGTGAGAACTCTCCTGCGGAGGGCTGCACGTGGCGTGCCAACCTCCGGTGGTGAGCGTGCCCAGTGTAGTCTGGTGTGCGTACGCTCGTATCCAGGACAGTCTGGTGTGTGCACGCTCGTATCCAGGGCAGTCTGGTGTGTGCACGCGCGCATCCAGGGCAGTCTGGTGTGCGCACGCTCGTATCCAGGGCAGTCTGGTGTGCGCACGCTCGTATCCAGGGCAGTCTGGTGTGCACACGCTCGTATCCAGGACAGTCTGGTGTGTGCACGCTCGTATCCAGGGCAGTCTGGTGTGTGCACGGTCGCGTTCGCGGCAGTCTGGTGACTGCACATTCACCGTCACAATGCATGGTGGTCACACATTCGCGGTGTGGTTCCATTTCTCATCGGAATTATGATATGTGTGACACCTAGTGGACAATGTGGATCGTGCGTTTCGCGCGCCACCTACCTGGGTGTGTTGTCTGTCCTTGACCTCCGACAAACCCTCGGTGACTCCCCACCATCCTGAACAGCCCAACAGGTGGCAGCGTCATTTGGCAGCTCGCTTGTGATGAACACACGCCAAACACGTGCATAGGGCATCGATCACGTGGTATGGCGAGCAGTGTGGCAAGGTACGATGAGATGAGAGTCGATCACGTGGTATGGTGAGCAGTGTGGTAAGGTATGGTGAGGTGAGCATCGATCACATGGTATGGTGAGCAGTGTGGCAAGGCATTGTATGCAGTCGTGGGGAACGGCGACCCACACGCCAGTAGAATGGTGTCCCGACGCTGCTGAGGACTGTGGTGAGGCGGAAGAGGCAGGCTGCGCGTCCGTGTAGCCGGGCGCCTTTGGCCGGCCGGTCGAAGCTGTAGGAGTTGGCCTGGGCCTGCCCGCTGCAGGCGAGATGTGGGTGCCGATCACGCTGGCCAAGCTGGTGGAGATGGCGCCGGCTGAGGTACGCACGTCCGCCGTCGCCTTCTATTATTTCGTCATCACCAACATCGGCGGCAACATGCCGCTGCTGGTGGACCCGGTCAAGAAGGCCTTCAGCAACGCTGGCTACAACGATGTCGACTCGCTTCGCGGTACGCGATTGGGGTCGGGGCTAGCACATTGGCTCTGTACACTGGGACAGATTTGGCGCGCCGGAGAAGCACACAGACTGTCAGGAGTGGAGGGTGGGGGGGTGGGGGGGGGAGGCGGAGTGGGAGCCTATTCGGGGGACCTGCCAGTTATCTGAAATGTGTTGTCACGCACACAAATCTGTTTGGCATGCGTTGTTGATGCGCAATAGTCATGGTGTTTTGTGTGTTGACATTATGGCCTGGTATACCGGCTTATTGGAGGCTCCGATTCCATATTTGTAGAGAGTTTTGAACTGAAATAGCCACGTTGAAGTTTATTCGGTGAAGTTTACAGCCCAACTGTTTTCAAGATCCTATCCCCTCCTGTGTCTGAGCTAGACGCCCGCGAAGATGGGGGCCGAATATTTCGTGCAGTCCATGCATGAACGCGTCAGTGCAGTGCAGTCATGAAGACAGACAGTCAAGCAGTCAGAATATTTTGTGCAGTCATATCACCCAGTCATGCACAACTTGTGTTGTACAGAGCATTCTATTCCACTTAAAAGCATACCGATGGTTATGCGTGGGCTTATTTAATCATATCTCACGCTTGCTTCAATATCTTCACATGTGGAACATTCCCTTTAACACACACCCGAGTGACCGGCTGGCTGGCGCGCTCGGGAACCCTTCGTTTGGGTGTGGGGGGGAGGAGGTCAGTTTGATCCCTCTGCGATATCAGATTCCAACAGAGCTTGAAACACCAAATTCACAAGCTGTGTTAGCCTGTAAGTGAAATCGTGTGTCAAAATGTATGGTTTCTAGATCATGACCTTCGGTTCAAGTAAAGTCAAACGAAGTCAAACTCCAGGTTGGTGTCAAAGTGTCTACGGAACTTAGATACCTGTTCTAAGTAAAAGTCACTGATGCTCATTTTAAGGTCAGTGACCTCGCTTGACTTTTCGTAGGTTGTGGCGACCAAAATCAGACAACACTGCTTCAAGTTTTGCATTTGCATTTTGCAAAACAAATTCGTTATGCATTGCCGCATATGTAATGGATGTATCACTCGCAGACATCTGTTATCGTATCATTGAACACCAGCCTCAACAGGCTCACCACGTGCCCGTATTACTTGCCGACGCTGGGTGTCTGTTCTGTCTGCAGACACACTGTACCTTTTCTACCCTGGCGAGTACATCTTGGGCGCGTTACTCTATTTGCTGGCGCTGCTGGCGCTGCGCCGGGACCTGGCGCGCGCCCAGCGCGACGGCCCCCTGGTGGAGAAGAAGACAGGCAGCGATACGGTGGGCGAGACAAACGACGCCTACCTGCCGGAGACGCCCACCGATGACCCGTGAGCGGATCTTCGCCGCCCACCGATGACTCGTGAGCAGACTTCCGCCGCCCACCGATGACCCGTGAGCGGACCTCCGCCGCCTACCGATGACTCGCGAGCGGACCTCCGCCGCCCACCGATGACTCGTGAGCGGACCTCCGCCGCCCATCGATGACCCGTGAGCAGACTTCCGCCGCCTACCGATGACCCGTGAGCGGACCTCCGCCGCCTACCGATGACTCGTGAGCGGACTCCGCCGCCCACCGATGACCTGTGAGCAGACCTCCGCCGCCCACCGATGCCCATCAGCGGACCCCCGCCGCCCTATCCCAGTGACAGTGTAACATGTGGAGGCTCGTCGAGATGCTCCGCCCGTGATATTGACGCACGTGTTTCACATGCTTTACCATATACTCAATTGTTGTGTGTGCACAAGCATAGTGGAGTCTGTGATGGTGTGCGATGTTCCCAAGAGCGATTTTAGATGAGGTTAGATGACTGGATAGATGAGGCCTAATGGGACTCTGGTCGCATGTACGTACGCTACCAGATCTGGCATTGTCCTTTGCAAACGTACCGCAATTCGGCTTAGGCCGCGTTCCATAGCATATTAGAAATGTTGCCAGATTGACACGAAATTTCGGCAGGGTACGCATGCGCGCTGACTAGCGTCGGCACGTCTAAAATGGGACGTTGCATTCAAAAACGCAAGGTTTCGACTTCCCCTAGTCGTTTTCAGATGTTTTAGGTTAACAACATCTTCGTAACAACAGCTCAGCCCACCACTGACGCCCGCAATCGAATAAACGCACCGTAATGCGGCAGGCGTTCGCCCGCTCCGCGCGAGTGCCGCAAAGTTCAAGGTTTGAAAATACTTGGTCTCCGCGAGCTCCAAGCCTCTACGTTAACTTAAGGCAACCAGTCATCGTTGAGGTTACAGCAATGCCTCAACTGTGAACAAATCAACTTTGATTCTACATTAAAACTTAAATAGTCAACAAATTAGCGCTGAGTACTCGTAAGATTTTTGAGTTTTTCAAATAATGTCAAGGTCTTCTTCCGAATGCAGTCACGCTAGCATAAAAGATATGGTAACCTGGAACGAATTCTGGCTGGGCAGCCATATCCTGCTTGTGCACAAAATACCAACTGGGGAGCGAGGGGTGGGGCCAAGAGTGTCGCGCGAATTTGCCGAAAACTGAAACCTCTGCCGTGTGCGCAGTGTGCCAGCGTGCGTAGTGTGCCGTGTGCGTAGTGGCCACGCATACTGGCCACAAATGGCCAGTGTGCGTGAAACTTGCAGTGCGATTGCCTGTATACAACAATAAAAACTAAGATTGGTGGCGCAAAAAAGATTTAAAAAAAAAGATTAAAAGGATACCCCAACAGTAGCGCTATCAAATGCACACCGTCGTATTCTCTGCGAATGAAAACAAGTATTTTAAAGGCTGCAGCATTTTCACCAGAGTACTCACGGCCGTCCGGCCATATTCAGAAATGTGTTACCAGAGCGGGGGGGGGGGGGGGCACATGAACAAAACATGCATTTTCGGCCTAAAACGAAGCTACGCTGCCAGCCGAAAATCCTCTCCCTGTGTTATCATGTGCACACGTCGGACCCGCGGCTCACGAGACTAAGTATTTTTTAATTTGCTACCGCAACTATGAAATAGTAATTAAATTGAATTAACTTAAAAATAAAATTTACACGGTGCGGCGCAAAGAACATTTTTTAGTTGCGCCCTCTCCCCTTCCCCCTCCCCCTTGCTTGGAACGCGTAGGAGTCAGCCGTATATCTAGAGCCATCATCATGCATCCAAAACTAGGATACAGAGTGATACATCATACGCTTCGCATGATGCATTAGGATACATGATACACTTCATCCACAGATCGAGGATGAAGCGGCTGACTGGGGCATTGAGGTCCGGTCAGGCACTATGAAAGGCTGTCCCGCCGTACATAGCTGTGTGCCCTTAACCACGGTACCCCAACCCACCCATTTTTTTGGTTAATGATGATATTTAAACGGGGCAAAAGCGCAACCAGATACAGCAATGATACGCCCAATTGGCAGGGTCACACGGAACTGGTGAATTTCATTGGCAAGGGCCCGCTGGATAACAACCCTGGGAGACCCCCCTCGGCCTTAACTAATCCACGCGGGCATCATGCATTCGTCGCTCTCACTCCAAGCATTCACATCCGCTGGCGCCCACGCAACCCCACTCATTCTCGACGCGCACAGGAATGGGATCCCTCCTCCCCCTTTACCCAGCACCTTGGCATTATAATTGGCCCGTCTGCGTGAGTCCTCGTAAAGCTAACTTAAGTTTATTTATCACATTTCAAACGTGCGGTGAAGCCACGTTTAAGCCCTATTTAAAATACGCCATTCAGTTTATCAACTCGGCACCGATGCAATCACTGGGCCGACATCAGGTGTCCGAAGCTGGGCGGCGACTCGTTCCCTTGCCTGACCTCCAGGGTGATGGCTCCCTGTTCGGATGACACTTCCCGCGTTCCGTTCACGGTGGGCAGCCCGTCATTCATTCGGCCACGCCCACCGCTCGCAGCTTTTCGCTGCCGCACACGCGCCTTAGGCAGTATCTCATCCAGCACAGGTGCGTCACCTACGGCGCTTCTGCGCCCTCCCTCCTGCCGTAGCGAGCGTTGAGAGGCACCGTCCCACGGTGCGTCCCTCAGAGACCTGGAGGTAGACAGCGCACGCAATGGGACGGTGGGGCCCCTCGGGATAGGACGAGCGCTCGGCGTGACCTACGTTCACGCTCTACAGTTCCCCCGGCCTTTGCGCTCTGGAGACTCGGCCTGACTGGCCTGTCTAGCGACCCGGTCCCTTGTCTCCCTTCCTATAAGCGTCGATGGCGGGATCTTTATCCGTCATCTTCCAAGGCAGGGTACACCAACGGGTGGATTCAGCTACCGCTGTGCATGATCCGGCATTCCGGGCGGTCCCCACTGGGCCTTGGTCATGTCATGACTTCTGCCTCCTCATGCCGTCACGCCTGAGGTCAAGTGAGAGTAAAAAAGTCGACCATCTCTTAATCCAAAAAAGAGCGAAACCGTGCATTTGAGTTGCGCTACCCACAAACGGACATCTCCGTAAGAACAGGGCTGCGGTCGTCTGACTCCTCGATCCTGACCACAGCCGAACCACGCTGCTCGTGCGGGTCCCACGCCTACCAACTTTGGTTATGATCCCCGAGCGGCTCGACCTTCGGGAAATGGGCGGCACGTTGCCTACCGGACGAAAGTCTGGCAGTCTGGTGGGAGTTGAGCCTGTCGATTCCAAGGCAATTACTTCGCGTAGGCTCTCGTTCTGCCAGCCGTTGATACCAGCCGGGTCACATTAAGAGAGAGTTACGACATCACGCGCCTTGAGGCATGCCGCGCAGAAATTTGCCAGCGTTCACCCCCTTTCGTGCAAGTTCTGAGCGATCGGTCGACCGACGGAGATCTGTGAGCATTGATATGGTTGGTTCCGCCCTGGAGCCGAACACCAGGCCATCCACCTACTGAAACATGTAATCTGTGTACTCCCTGTCGCGTCACCAACGGGCTAACGATAATCGCACATCTGTCACACCACGTATACGGTGTAAATCGCGCCGCGGCCACGCCCTGGTCCGCCGTCGGGACGGCGGGCTAGATACAGGAGGGCTGCCGGGCAGGCACTGACGACCCAGCTGGCACTCTCTTGGATTCGAATCCAACGCGCTCGGCGTATAGCAGGACCCTGCAACTTGCCAGCGGGTCGCGAGCGCTGTACTGCCTCGTCCGTCCACATCGTAACGTGCCGTCCTTTGCCGGCGGGTCACAGGCACCCGCGTCGCCGTTGCGCACCGTCGGGTGCTGCCCTCTGCCGCGATCGCCGATGTCGACTGGTAGATGGCGCCTGTGTCTCCTTCCGAGCGCTACTCCGGCCGGCGCCTTGCGAGTGATCTCGGCTGGTTTCGCAGAGTGACGGGCGGTCTCCCGAGACGTAGCGGGCTCAGCGCAACTCGCCGCAATCCCTCGGCACCCACGGCAACAGGCGATCTCCTTCCGACCTCTAGCCAACGGCGCGGAGATCCCGCCCGCTTCGAAAAGTTCGATGGCAGTCTCCTCCGCGCCAAGCCTCCGGTGTCCGTGGAGGATCCCTCCCTGTCGAGAGCGCCCTCTGCCAACCGAGCGTGGACACCGTGCACCGATCATTCAGTAATCGAGAAGGGTCTAGGGAAATGGAGGGGAAAAAATAGAGGACAGGGAATGCACCCGCTTGTTAAAGGAATCCGTGCAGCGCATGCGCTGGACGGAGCTAGACCGCACTGAATTAAACGGGGCGAGCAGCTAAAAAACAACAACATCAAAATGAAATGTGCATGGATACCTTGATAAACCAGTCGGTCTATCGGGACGAGCGAGTGATGAAGGAAAGAAGAGGGACAACACACGCATGACAAAGTCCATGCAGGCGCGCTGGACGGAGCCTGGCAAGAGTTCAGCGTCCCACAACGGATCGAAGGAAGAGAAGGAAAGCGAACGACCAACTAAACGGAAATCGAGCCTCAACTTGGGTGGACGTCCCACAAGACAAACCAGCCCGTCGACCTACGCAAAGCGATTAATAATTAATGGGAGGAAGGCAGCGCGATTGTGCAGAGACCGTGCATGCGCGCTGGGCGGGCTTCGGCGAGAGATCGGCGTCTCCAAAAAAAAAACAACAAACAAACGAACACAAAACAACAAAGGGGAGAGGAAAAGCGGACGCTCAGCTGACGGAAAAGCAGACTGAACGTTCATGGACGTCTAATGAGACCATCCAGTCCATCAACCCAGGCAAAGCGATCAATAACGAATGGCGGGAAGGCAGCGAGGTCGTGAGGGAGGCCGAGCATGCGCGCTGGACGGGCTCCGTGAGGGTCCGGCTACCTCGCGCTGTGGGAAAAATTAAGGAAACACGAAAGAACGAACCGTCCAACTAGCCAACAGACTACCGCCATAGCCACAGTAGACCTCCAGGGACATGCCGGCGCGGCCCGTACGCCGCGCCTGGCCGCCACGCGGGACCGGCGGGGGCCCTAACGAGCGGATACACCTCCACATGACCACCTCCTCAAAATAGCTCCGGCGCGGGTTAAAGAGCGAGCTGTTGCACCTAAGTGTCCACGGCCCCGGACACAACCTGGCAAAATGTAACAAGCACCGTTTTAAACAAGCACGCACATCTGTTCTTATCTGCTTAAACACACACACAGACACACACACACGCACACACACACACACACACACACACACACACACACACACACACACACACACTGTTCGAGTCTGTCTCCGCGAAGGTGCACGCGAGTCGGCGGTGGTTGACGAGGCTGAAAAAGCTCCGGAGGTCAGTGAGCAATTTTGGTGCCGGGACCGCCGCTATGGCGTTCGTCAGGGCCGGGTCGGGCACGTAGCCGTCTCGGGACACGATGAAGCCGGCGAATTTGACGCTGG